TGTACTGAGAAAAAATCAAAGGGTAGAAACTCTCCTGAATGGGGGTTAACCCCTAGTGCAAGAATATTTGCACCAACAACTAAACAACAAGAAGAAACAAAAAAAAACAGGAGTAAAGGAATTATGGTAGAGTGTCCTGAGAGTGTAAGTCCCTTAAAAGGGAGGAGGACAGTCAGTGGTACAAATAGTTTAACACTTTAAATATAAAACTTTTAATACTAAAAAAGTAAAACTAAAAAAGTAAAACCACAAGAGCACACTGTAACGAGAATATACCCCAACACGCAGGATTCAGCTAAACAGAAGACAACACAGAGGAGAGATACGTCTACCGGACCTTAGAATGGCCGGACTCGACGTGTATGAGAGGAGACAGAGTCAGGAACGATCCAAAGTCAAGGGCACAGAGAGACAGCGTAAACTAGGACTAGCCGGGGTCTGGTACACAGTAAACAGCAAGCCGGCAAACAGATAAGGATAAGGATAAAGAGAAAACGTAGTCAGAAACAAAGCCAAAGTCAAAACGAAGAAACACAACTGAACACAACATGCACTAAAGGGAACTGAAACAGAAACCACGATAGGGCAGGGAGTAAAGGGAGAGGTAAGTTTAAATAGCTTCTAAACTAATGTGATTGGCTCCTGTCATATTCACACCCCCAAAAGGTAAGTGTATGGGGAGTGTGGCATGACAGGGCCCAATGGGAGCCTTTTGACAATTTAGGCTCCCACTGTCTCTTTAAGAGCGCGCCCGAGACTCGCGGCGCGCTCTTAGATTCAGGCGGGACACGTGATCGCTTCTCGCGGTCACTGCCCGCCTTCCTATTGAAGCCGTCGGGTTGAGCCGCGCGCGGCTCGTGCAGCAGCAGGACCGCGCGCGGCTCGAAGAGAGGACCGCGGCCGGCCCCTGGATAAGGTAAGTAACACTACACACACATTAAGAACACTAATTAGTATAACTTTTCCTAGTCTCCGTTAATACGGAGATAGTGTAATTGCAGGGATTATTTCAATCCAATAAGTGAACCCGCTGCAGGTGAAGCGGTACAATAATTTGCCTGGTGGCACAATATTACAGTCTTGCGTACAAAGTAGTATATAACACCCTGTTCTCAGAGTGTTGTTTTGTCAACAAAAAATAAACTGTATACCTGTTGGTGTCTCAGACCATGTATTGTTGTGTGGGAGGGAGAACCAGAATGGGTTATTAATATCGCTATGCAGGAATATATATCGCAGAGATAGTGTTGGTTTAAGACAACAATAGTGGAGTAATTCTCAAAATCCCTAAGTGCTTTAAGGGCACCCCTTAACTAAAGCCTGCAAATCCCTAAACACTGGTTTGAACAGCCTCCCGCCAGAAATCCTGCCTAGGAAGCAGAGAGTGCAAAAATCCTGCTCACCAATTATACAGAGCACATACTAAGAACACTAATAGTTTATAAATGCAAAAGTATGTGTATCTGTGCATACAGCCCTTCTTTTGATAACAAATGTAAAGTTGCAATAAATTATAAGCAATGTATCAAGGGCTGCCATACACGATACAGTAGTAGCTCAGAGCACTGGTGTACAAATATAGGATTGCTGTCACTCCACTGTAGTAATAGGCTGCAGCAATTGTCGCGTCCTTAAGGTCAGACCGTTAAATAGTATAACTAGTCCTGGCTCGTCTGCGTTAGTATGGAGATAGTGTAATTGCAGGGATTATTTCAATCCGATAAATTAACCCGCTGCAAGGTGAAGCGGTACAATAAATTTTCCTGGCGACACAATATTACAGTCTCGAGTACAAAGTAGTATATAACACCCTGTTCTCAGAGTATTGTTTTGTCAATAAAAAGTAAACTGTATACCTGTTGGTGTCTCAGACCATATATTGTTGTGTGGGAGGGAGAACTGATATTGCTATGCAGGAATATATATCAAAGAGATAGTGTGGGTTTAAGACAACAATAGTGGAGAAATTCCTGAGTAATGGTTTGAACAGCCTCCCGCCAGAAATCCTGCCTAGGAAGCAGAGAGTGCAAAAACCATGCTCACCAATTACACTAAAAAGTGGCTAAAATTGCTGATTAAATATCAGAATAAACTGTTAGTTCCTAGTATCCTCAATTGCTTATGATAGTGCAGTAAAGTGGCTGTCCACATGTATCAGAGCTTAAATAGGTAGTAGAGCTATAGAAGCTGGAGACTGCTGGAAGTCTATTTCAATGTGCAGTCACTGTTGGTGCAGTGACTAATGGATAGCGCTGGTGTTTCCCCTGGAATCGGAATCGGTCCATTCTGTGTTGCCTGAGGAAAAGCTATTCTTTCTATTAGGACGTGTGTAAGATCTTTTTGTTATCCTGAAAATTTTTCCTTCCTTGAAGTCCTTAAAATCACGTTGAAACTTAAAATATTTTTTTTTTCTTTGATGTGATTGGTAAAGCTATCAATGTTTTTTTGTAATTTAGTTTCCATTAGGGTATAGTCTGGATTGGTCTGATATTCTTTGACCTTTATTATTTCATTCCGTAGGTATCTTCCTCAAGTTTAACTAAATATTGCATAAATTTAAAAGAGCAATCAATGAGTATGGTATTCCACTCTTTCAATCTGTCCTCAGTATTGACCTTATCTGGTGTAGAAATTTCAGGTCTCAGACCTCTTGGCACTAATTTTTGATCTAGGCAGAGCCATAGGCTGGTCACTCAGAAATTTCTCCACTATTTCACATTTCTCCACTATCTCATATATACATATATATATTTTTTTATTATCTTTTATTTATTTATTTTTTAAAACTTTTAGTAACTTTATTTTTACTTTTCAACCAGCAGGGGGACTGCCTGTCAGTTCAGGCAGTCCCCCTGCTGGCAGCACTGTGGACACCTATGGGGGCCATGTGACTGCTCTTTTAGAGTGGTCACATGGCACCTGGGGATCCTAAATTGGAGAGGGGGGACTCTCTGGGCTCAGTCCAGAGAGTCCCCCCAAAGAAGAAGACCGATCACTGTCGGGGGAACGCGGCGATCGGTAAGTACATGGGAGAAGGAGTGGGAGGGAGGGTAGGGGGTTAATTTTTTTAATTAATTAATTATTTTGGGGGAGCATACATACTGAGTGCCTCGACCCCCCTCCTGATTACTTCCGATGCTCTGTCTAACTGCCGGGCTCCACATGGAGCAACCCGGAAGTGATCGTCAGGGGGGAGCGATCACTTGGTAATCTCCGGTGGTCCCCGGCAGTGAGGGGGGTATTACAGTGATGCCTCAACACTGATGCATCACTGTAATACCATAAGAGCTGCTGGAAGCGATCATGATCGCTTCCAGAGCTCTAATTACCCCAGGATGTATCAGGTACGTTCGCAATCCTTAAGGACCGTTTTTTGTCGGACGTACCTGATACGTCCGTGGTCACTAAGGGGTCAAAAAACTATTTCTTTCTTTTTTCTGGACTATGTTAAAATATTTTATACCAACATTTTTTTTTGTTTCCTTTTTGTAGAGTTAGCCAAAGAGAGAGGAAGTGTTAGCAGATCCAGGTACAGGTGTATGATTGAGTAAAGCATTTGTGATTTTGATGTAAGCTGAGTTCCTTGAGTCTAGATACCAGTGATTTTCAAAATTTGTAGAAATAAAAACCTTTATACACTGGTAGTAGCCCAATTTGAAACACGTTGTCTGTGTATCACTGAAAGGCTTTCCCCGAACGTTTGGTCCAAAAATGAGGTGCATGGAACGCTTTGCCCAGCAGTGTAAAATGATTCCAACTATCCACAGACTTCAGGTGGAAGGGGTTTTCAATCACAATTTTTTCCCCACCATAATCTTTTTGTTTTTTGCTTCCCAAGCACTACCAAGCCTCAATAAGCAAACCAGTAACCAACCTCATGCTGATGATTTGCATTAACAATAACAGTTGTCCATGAGTGGTTCACTGGCTTTGTATATTTTCCTAAGTTGTGTTTCAAATCTGTTATATACAGCAAACACCGACTCAAAGGAATCCATGTTTAAAATGGAATGAGTCAAAATTGTGATTCTTTGTTAAACTAATTTGCATTTGCCCACCCAGAATCCTTTGCCGTAGTAACTCAGAATCCTTTGCAGTAGTAATTACTGCAGATTTGTGATTTCTGTGAGAAAAGCAAGTCTTATGGCTTGACGGGTGTGCAGATTTTTGTTTAACATTGTATTAACTAATATATATATATAAAATACATTTTGTTACTTCCTGTGCACACTGTAGTATCTTTTGAGCATTATTTAGTAGATTGTGCTCACAAGGGGTTGTACAGAGTAGACATGTGCAATTCGTTTCGTTCCGAATGTCAATTGGGACAAATTTCGGGCAATTCGGACAAATTTCAGGCAATTTGGACGAATTTCGGGCAATTCGGACATTCGGACATTCGGATACGAAGTTGCGAAGTTCCGAAATTGCCGAATTTGCCGACGTTCCGAAGCACAGTATTGCCGAAGTACTAATATACCCAGTGGAAGCATGAAAAATGTTACACTGTATACAAGTTTAAATAAAAAGTATACAAACATAGCCAGGATTCAGCTGTAAGCATTTGCAACACTTACAACAATCAAGTAACGCATTCATATAAAATGTAAGTTCAATGGAATGACAGGAATGAATAAGTAGATAACTCCCTAATTCGAAAGGTATTATGGAGCTATCTTCCAAAAGGCTGAAAGACCTAAATCTTTCAACACTGCGTTGCACTGACCCAGGAAGCACCAATAGTGGCCGTCTGATGAATAGCCAATGGAGGTGTCCCTAGGCTGTAATGTAAACACTAATAAAAAAAAGATTAAAAAGAGGAGGGCTGCGGGGCATGACCGGACTAAGCATGAGACAGGATGTGTAGTGCTTGAGCTCCTCGCCCTTGACCACAAAATAGCAATAATTTTGCTGAATTCAAAGCCAAAATAGTTTGTACTAAGAAGCCCTCTACCCAGGGAATATCGTAGATGGGCTCCCCACGCAGGCATGCCGGCACTATGGACGATTTTGTGTCCGCACCAGCCGAGCTCCGGGGGGGCAAGGCCTCTTGGCAAGATGGCGCCGGAATCCCCGAGCATGGAAAGCGCAGGAGACTCGCTGGAGGGAAGCGCCCAGGACGATGCACTAGCCCAAATAAGGCAAGAACTGGCTATGATCTCGGAGCACATGCTCACGAAGGCAGACACAGGGGTTTCATTTCCTCACCCCTCCTGCCCCCCGCCTCTCCCACACACTCCATGGCTCGATCGGGAGCCAGGGGGTTCTGCCCCGCTGCGCCTATGGACAACATAAGGGGGCTGAACGCGCGGGAGCGGTGGTCACACTTGCTACGGTCCCTGTGGTCTGCAAGGGCCTTAATGGCATTCCTCCAGGAGACCCACTTCAAGGGGACAGAATGTCCCACGCTGCGTGATGCGAGATTCCCGAACGAGTACTTCACCAACCACACGGAGGCCAAGAAGGCTGGGGTGGCGATACTTGTTGTCCAACATATACCATTCTGCTGCACCGAGACAAAAGCAGACCCAAATGGACACTACCTGTTCCTCAAAGGCACGATTGCTGACAGGCGATACACTTTTGCATCACTATACGCACAGAACGCGAGGCAACATCACTTCCTCTCCAAGACCCTTAAGCTACTCGACCAGTTCAGAGAGCGGCTCCTCATTGTGTCGGGAGACCTTAATGTCCCACTGGACCCGTGTATGGACATATATAAAGGCAGTAGCTCGCTCTCGGAGCACTGTCTGTGAACCACCAATGAAGCGCTTTGCACCGCGGGCCTGGCGGACACTTGGCAGGTCCTCCACCCAGAGGATAAAGACTTCTCCTACTACTCACCAGTGCACCATGGGCACAGCCGCCTCAACTATATCCTTGTCTCACAGGAATACCTGCATCTTCTCCAGGCCTGTGATATTCAAACAGCTGTTTGGTCTGACCACTCCCCGGTCCTGGTCACGATGCGCTCCCTTCTCTTCAAGCCCGGTGGCAGACAATGGAGGCTCAACAAACAGATTCTGGGGGATTCTCTGGCCCTTGAAGAAGCTAAAGATGTGCTGCGGCACTACTTTGAAGTTAATAACACCCTGGAGATCACACCCTTGATGCGGTGGGAAGCCCATAAAGGTGTAATAAGGGGCTACTTCATTAAGACCTGTACCAAGTGTAAAAAGGAGCTCAGCAGTCACCTGGACACAGGACGCCTACACAGCTGTTCCGCATGGGCTTGACACCAGCCCACTGCTGGAGATGCGGTGCGGCCGAGGGTACGGACCTGCACATTTGGTGGTCAAGCCTACATATAGCTGTCTTCTGGCAACAAATACCTAGGAAGCTGATAGATATTCTGGATTCGGATATACCGTTGCAATCCTTCCCAATGCTGCTCCATTACACCAAGATGCCGATTGGGGTGTGCAAGAGGTCCCTCATGAGACACTTCCTAACCGTCGCCAAGAGCCTGATCCCAGCCAGGTGGAAGTCACAAACCGTCCAAACCATAACGAACTGGATAGAGAAAGTAGAAAAGATATACAGCATGGAGAGCCTCACGGCGGACCTGCGAGGTACCGTAGAAAACTGCACACAACTATGGGCTCCCTGGATCAAATACATGGCCCGCAGACCCACGGAATAGGTGGCACCGGGGACCAGGTAGGCCGGCATTCGCCCCATCCGCTTGACATATGCCGTGAGTCTGGGGCATGGTGGTGGACCCCCTGCCCACACCCTCACTCTTTCCCCCCTTACACCTATCTTCCACTCCACCCCCCTTTCCTACCTCCCCCCTCCCTCACTTCCCCCTCCTCCTCCACTCCCCCACCTCCCCACTATAAAGATGGACAGAGCGTTCTCTGTACATGACTCACTGCTCCCTCAGCACTGACACAGATCTATGCGAGGGGGGACAGGACACGACACCCGGGTCCCACGGAGTGAGCCACATAGCCTAACGACCCACCCATGCATGACGATAGTTAAGAGATGACCGAACCCCTCCTACACTATACACCTCTGGATATCCCATTCCGCCACCTGTGGAATCCCACGAGGGGTTTCAAGCAGTCTCTGACAGCTGAGCTCATGCCCACGACCATTGAGTTTACACCGATTCGTAGCCAAGCTTATAGTGCCGACAATAAGGCAGACACTCTGGGTCTTATCCGGCACCCGACACAAGCATTCCTTATATAAGCCAGAGCACCACTAAGACAGGCCCTATCTACAGTCAAATACGGCTTTACACCCTGCAGTGTGGCTACGAAAGTATTGTGGCGAATGACCACTGGTGGCTCCTTCCACTACTGTACCCCTGACTCCTAACGTCACACAAACCTGTGTGCATCATATAAATGTTATGCCGTTCTAACGTGTCTTTTTTGTATCTGTAACTTTCAACCATTTACAATGTAATTCATACTTACCGTTCGCACGACTAAAAATAAAGATTGTCAGCAGAAAAAGGAGGGGGGGGAGGTGGGGACAGGGGAGGGGTGATGTGGAGTGATTATGAAAAGTGACTGTTACGATGCACGTCTACACTAAAAATATGACTGCTAAGCTGTCAACTGGACCAAGCTCCTTCATGTTGACACAAATCACTTTTGTTAGAAGCATTACTGCATGTATGTGCATAAACACACCCGTGTTGTTCATTCTAAAAATAATGAAAAAACAGGGGGGGCTGCGGCACGCAGGTATATAAATGAACAATAACTAAGTCTAAAAATGGATCAAGGGAGCAGAGTGTCTCACATGCAGAAGTGCCCCTCTAAAGTATGGTGTAGAGTGATGATATTCCAAAGGTCTGAGAATACGATTTGGCTCAATTTTCTCAAGTGTTCAAAACATATGGAGAGATAAAGGGTAGAAAAATCCAATAGTGTAATATGTACAAATAATAAACATGGTAAGATGATCATATTTAACTCCCATTTGTTAAAGCTTGGCCAGCTCAAGCCTGTCTTGTGTACAGTTGTACAATCCCCACTTATATTATACTATATTAAGCTGCACTTGTTCTGGTGACTACAGTGTCCCTTTAAGAATTCTATTTTTGTCGCTGAAAATAAAACTTTGTTAGTTAACCCCTTAAGGACTCAGCTTCTGGAATAAAAGGGAATTATGACGGAGTATTTCCGTCAAGTGTCCTTAAGGGGTTAAAAAAAATACTGGCTCCTAACTTTTTGTAGCTGGCTCCTAGATTCCAAGCAAATTTGTCAAGCCCTGCTATATTTGCATGTGTGTTACTGTAACTGTGTATCAGTGTATGTATCTGTGTGTCAGTATGTGTGTCAGGGTATGTATCTGTATGTCTCTGTGCGTGATGGCATGTATAAGTGTCTTGGTGTGTATCTGTATGTGTGTCAGGGTATGTATCTGAGTGTCAATATGTATCTGTGTGTCATGGCTTCCATTATCATTTCTATGCTGATGACACGCAAATCTACCTGTCCTCTCCTGATCTCTCTCCGCCCATCTTGACTCGTGTCTTTGATTGCCTCTCTTCGATTTCCAAATGGATGGCTGCTCACTTCCTTAAAATCAACCTGTCCAAAACAGTACTTCCCCTATTTAACCCCAGATGCGGCTAAGGTGCTGGTCCATGCTCTTGTTCTATCTCGCCTGGACTACTGCAATATTCTTCTCAATGGTCTACGTGTTCCCATATTGCACCATTGCAATCTATAATGAATGCGGCGGCAAGGCTCATTTTCCTGTCCACTCGCACCTCCCACGCCTCCCCGCTCTGTCAGTCCCTGCATTGGCTCCCAGGTAGATATAGGGCTCAATTTAAAATTCTGGTGCTTGCTTACAAGTCCCTACATAAGGCTGCTCCAACCTACCTATCCTCCCTAATACACAAGTATGTCCCGTCAAACTCCTTAAACTCAACCTGTCCAAAACAGAACTTCTGATCTTTCCTCCCTCAAGTGTAACTACTCTCATGTCTGTCTCCCTTCAAGTCAACAGCGCTGCCATCACCTGTACCTCGAAGGCTTGCTGCCTGGGTGTTCTTTTTGACTCCAACCTCTCCTTAACTCCTCATGTCCAATCAATCGCCAAATCCTGCCGCTTCCATCTCAAAACCATAGCGCACATCCGCCCCTGTTTAACCCCGGATGCAGCTAAGGTGCTGGTCCATGCTCTTGTTCTCTCTCGTCTGGACTACTGCAATACTCTTTTCAGTGGTCTACGTGTTCCCATATTGCACCATTGCAATCTATAATGAATGTGACGGCAAGGCTAATTTTCCTGTCCGCTCGCACCTCCCACGCCTCCCCGCTCTGTCAGTCCCTGCATTGGCTCCCAGTTAGATATAGGGCTCAATTTAAAATTCTCGTGCTTGCTTACATGTCCCTATATAATGCTGCTCAGCATAAATTCAGCATACCTATCCTCCCTAATACACAAGTATGTCCCGTCAAGGCCCTTATGCTCTGCCAAAGACCTACATATATCCTCTGTCCTTACTCCCACCTCTAACGCCCGCCTCCAAGACTTTTCCAGGGATGCACCTCTTCTGTGGAACTCCCTTCCCGCCTCCATAAGAATTTCACCCAGTCTCCACTCATTCAAAAAATCATTGAAAACTCACTTCTTCAAGAAAGCATATCAATTAAACTGTTAGCAGGTTTTCATCCCCCACCCTCCATGACTCCTCTCCTGCAACTGTCATAAATTACCTATTAAGCCCTCAGCGAATATTTCCTAACATCTTACTTCACACCCCTACTTTTACCCTTTGTGTCACTATACCCCACTCCCTCTAGAATGTAAGCTCATTGAGCAGGGCCCTCCAACTCTCTGTTCCTGTACGTTGAGTTGTCTGGTTACAATTAAATGTCTGTTAGTCCACCCTTTGTACAGCGCTATGGAATCTGATGGCACTATATAAATAATAAAATAATAATGGTGTGTATCTGTGTGTCAGTGTGTGTATCTGTATGTTTGTCAGGGTATGCATCTGTGTGTATCTGTGTGTCAGGGTATGTATCCTTAAGTGTGTCTGTGCATCTGTATATATGTCAGTGTGCGTATCTGCAGGTGTGTCTGTGCATCTGTATCTGTGACGAAGTGCCCTTCACCACTTGTGCCTGGAGAGGACTAATTGCCAGCCTCCTGCCTTGTGACTATGGCCCCTGGGATATATATTGCCTGTTAAAAACTCTATTTTAGCAGATTGGATTTTAAAAGATGCTTTCTGCCCCTTTAAATTATATTGGAGCAGTTCTGCAACTTTAAATTGGCACTTCAGATACAGCCGAAGTGCCGAAGTAGTCGAAGTGGCTGCCATTCGACAACCGAACACGTGGCGGCAGCCATTTTAATTCATTCGAACGCAGTCAGCGGTGTTTTGCCGCCAAGTTCATGAAACTAAAATCGGATACTCATTTTACCTTCCCTGGAACTAACTCATTCGACATTTCGAACGCTGTCCGACAATTCGAATGGTTGCCGTTCGCCTATTTGAACTATATTTAACATGGGAAATAGACCGGCCGCACAGCCTGATTCTCTGGAACTGTTTTGGGCATGAAAATGTGCGTGTGGTCAGTCAAAATATGACTTCCAGCTAACTCCCGAACGGCTGAACGGATTTGAAAGATTTTTTGATATTTTTGTCCCCTAAGTAATCTGATTCAGAAAATGTAAAGTTTATTAATATTGGATGTATAGTCATGAAGTTATAAAAGTTGTATAAACATAAGTATGTTTTCGCTTGGAGATAATTGAGTTAATCCAGCCA